GGTTTTCTTGTTATGGTCTTTCGTCTAGTGCCCCCCTTAAAGTGCACGTATTCCATCTTTATGTGTATTGAAGTGTAAAGTGGCTGAACATCTATTGTGACTAGATACGAACTGTGGAGAAATACTGCCCAAGTTTGATGAAGCTGTTCATCAGAAAGTCATTTGTATCCTTGATGTATGACTTAACTTCTTGTGCCAGAGGTTTAATATGATGGTCTATGAATTCGGAGATTTTTTCCGTTGGACCTTCGCATGCTGAAACAATTGGTCTGCCAGGGTTACTAGGTTTATGAATTTTTGGAAGCATGTAGAAAATCGGTGTCCTACAATGTTTTGGATACATATACTGTATAGAATTTGGTGAGAGTAGATTATGTTTTTTAAGGTAGTTTAAAAATGCCGCTATCTCTTGTGTGATTTTTTATGGTAACTGTTAAAGACTATTGTATAAAATATTGATGTTTTACATATGAATGTGTTCATTAGGAAATGAAGTACTGTACTTACCTGACTAAGGATTAATTAATCACAAATTTAAATTTCATTCACCAAAATTCATAGTAATAGTAAATGTCAGATTTAGTTTATGGAAAAACTTGAAAAAGATTTGACAAATTATGTCTATATAAATTTTAGGAAACACATTTACCCTGACACCTCTATATATCTTAAATGGAATTGTCTATCTTTCAATTTTTAGGGAAAATTTCAAAATATTTATTGCCTGAATAGCAAACAGTGCAGACCATGATCAGATGACACAGGTATGATGGCACTGGTATCATGGACAGAATCTGAATGATTCTACTAGAATCTCTTGCCATCAGCAGGCAAAATATTAAAAATCACATGAGCCGTGACACAACAAAACCAACATAAAGCGTTTGCGACCAGAATGGATCCAGACCAGCCTGCGCATTCGCGCAGTCTGATCAAGATCCATGCTGTTCGCTTACCAACCCTATTACAAGTAGAGAAACTGATAGCGAACAGCATGGATCCTGATCAGACTGCGCAGGCTGGTCTTGATCCATGCTGGTCGCAAACGCACTGTGTTGGTTTTGTCATGACGCTGCTCATATCATAATTATGGAATTGAATAATACATGTACATTATCTTTGTGTCACTGTTTAGAACTGTTACTTTGAAGGAAAGATGATGTGTAAACAGTTGGGTAGCTCAGACAGTAGATCTGTGGAACAGTATTCGGAGCGTCCAGTGTTCGAGTCCCAGTCAGGCTGCACATTATTACTCACCCTGTGACATTTGTTATTTAATATTTAATGTTATTTTATTGTTAATAACAAGTTTTGCCATTAACATGAAGTTGACTTTAAGACAAAAAAACTATAAGGGGGGGAAAATTAAAAAATTACAAACCTTTCTGTTGTTTTTTAGAATTTACAGTTTTTTTGTTGTTTGGGAAAGAACCCAAAAGCAGAAGGTATTTTTGAACTTGTTGTCTGAGAAAAAAAGAGTTCCAAAAACTTAGATAATTTCTGCAAGTTTTCTGGAAACTGAAATATATGAATCACTTTATACTATAAGGAATACAATAAAGTTTAATATACTCAATCTGTGGTAAATGTATCAAAGATTGCTTGTAGCAACTATTTACCAATACTATGTTACAACATACATGTACAACAATGGCAAATTGACAAATGGTTGTATTGTTTGACACAAATGCATTAACAAATATTTGGATCCATGTTTCACAATATAAGCTTTTTATTTATTAGTTTTCAATTACATGTATTTACTAACTTCTTAGCAGTTACGTTTTATGTTTTTCAAAATCACATTCTATTTTGAAAGTGAACAGAAATGTGAAGAGAAGAATTTGTTTCAGAATAAAGAACCAAGAAGAAACATAGAACAGGGCTCACACTGGCTCAAATAAAATAATAGCCAATAATTTCAACTTAAAAAAATAATAGCCAAAAGTTCAGCGGACTATTCACGAATTAGCGATTAACAACATAAACAGTTGATTAAATAAACATTACATATATAAATTTTTTTAGTTTTATAAGGTTTTCAAAATAAACTGATACATTTTTGTGTATATTGATAAACTACCTTTTTTTTAAATAGAACCCAACAACTTTAATTGGGTTATTATAGAACAGAATAAAAACGTGCTTAATTAGGCTATTAATTTATCTACACTCCCTCACACTCCTCGTATAACAATAATATTAAAGATTCATTATAACTTTACATAATGGCTTGCTTATCAGACAAACTTTTTTGTTTGTTCTAATCAAATTTATTCAGCTATAACCACTGTTCAATTTCCACATTTCACACAGAACTGGAGTAATCAGGTCATATTTTAGCCTATAGAAAAAAACAAGTTTGCAAACTCATTCACAGAATTGCAGCCTTTTTTATCTGAATAATTTACTGAAAAATATCCATCATCACCAATGTAATACAAATTTTCTGCCATAGTAGTAAAGATTTTTAAACAGAACATAGCTTATTTCACCTTAAATAAATATCAAAATTATCGATGTCGCGAAAATATGTGACAATCGGATTTTTCCTCCTTTTTCTGAAGAAAATTCACAATTTTGTTGTTGTGCAAATAGTTGTTTGGAAGTTAATACTTTTTTAAATATTTCACCATTGTTTTCCACTGGCGATTTAGTCAAATAGCTTAAAAAAAAAAAATCAAAATTGCAATTACTGCATTTCACGGTAAAATTTTGCGGTAAGTCAATATCCAGTTTATCAATTTTTAAAACGCATTTTTTGTGGCTAATTGACGGATATTTGATCTGGCTATTATAAATGCTGGACAATATCTTTAAAAAGTACTTATACAATTTTAATACATCTCGCATGTATTTTTTCACCTCGGGCAATATAGTTAGCAGCACGTGACCGGTAAAAAGTTGACACTCAATTAAATGCACCCCCGCTGGTTTTAAATTGCGGTCTACTGCATTCATTATCGATTTTTACACCTTATATAAACACTTTTTGGAAGTAAAAAATTAATCGCCAGATTTGTAGCCAAAAAATGCAAAAATAATCGCCAATCTTATAAAATAATCGCAAATGGCGACTATGGCGACCGACAGCGTGAGCCCTGATAAATGATTAACAAAGCCGCACAACCCATACGATAAGTGGATCTACTATTGTATTACATGCACTGGTCGGAAAAAAAACCTTCCCAATTATTGTTGACATGCATGTCCGATTACTCATACAGTTTCTCAGATTTTAATACATACTTCTTTCAGACCTAGCTTACATAACTGCAATGCACCCGTCTTCTCCGCAGTATCAAGATGTTGCTTCACATTTGAATTACCCATTTAAACCTTTGATCTGCTGCAATTTAAGTGTTGATTGCTAAATTTTGACAATTTTTGTAAACAGGAAGTGGCCGGTGCACCAGTAAACATAAGGTCAGTTGATTAGTCCTAGCATGAGAAAAACTTTAAATGTTTTGAAAAAAATGGCAGAGGCAATACAGCTTAATAAAAGTAGACGTCACATTTTGCTAACAGGACAACCAGGTATAATTCTTCTATTTTAATGTCTCAGAATTGCTTGTCAATCATTAATTGAAATAATGTTGATCTGTTACAATGTAAAATAAAAATTAAAATTCAAAATTGAGAAATTCTTAACTAACCACATAAGGACTTGAATGTCAATGTGAAAGAATGTTGTTTATGATACATTCTCTTTATTTTTAGAGTAAGTAATAAGCAATGGATATTTGTAAGTAAATGTTTATCAAATGCAAAATGCTTTAAGTTTTACCCTCATTGACTGTCACATACTGTATGTAAACATGCACTTACATGTAGAGTGGGTGGACCAACGCTCAGCGTAAAAATACTATATTTGATATGGCAAATTCAAATCAAAGTCAACAAACCTCAATGTTATATGTCAATTTTCAAGACCGATGATATTGTTTTAAATAGCCATTGTGTAAAATTCGCTAATCACATAATGATGTGCATGGCTGGAGCTATAGATAGTCCGGATAAACAAGAGTGGTTTGCGTGAAATTGTACCATAGCTCGGCGCACAATACTACATGATGCAGGATTGTTTTTCGAATAAAATCTCTTTTTATCTTATGAAGAAAACATACTGAATAAATTGTAACAACCAAATTAGGTTCATACATTTACACGTACCCAACTTTAGTTTAAATTTTACAGCCCCAGAACTCTAGTGTTAAAAGATTTTAATAATTTATATGTTGCAGATTACATACGGTTGTTCGTCTGCTATTAGCATTGTCACGTGACTTTACCAGCAGTGAACCACGCCAGGATAAAATGGTGAAAGATGTAAATAAAAGCACCAGTGACCTAAATCCGAGATAACTCGAGACATTTTCAGATATTCTAAAAAAATATATTTTTACGCCGAGCATTGGTATGCGCCGAGCATTGGTCCAACCACTCTAATATAGTTCTTGTATAATGAGGTTTTGTCACAATAAACAGCTTTCACTATCCAGTACGGATCCACAGAGTATAAGCCAAAGATATGAATTTTAGGTTGAAGGTATGTCACTGTATAGCAGGCAATGAGCACATTAACGTACAATTACATACATGTACTCTTCAGTGGCTGAATGCAAAAATAAGGTCGTTAACTTCAAACCACTTGCTCTTCACCACTACATATGTTGGAATCCAGGCTGGGACTTTGGATTCTTTGGTTCGAGGAATCAATCCAGCTAGCTTACGGAACATCGGTGTACTCAGGTGCCCGTTCGTGACTGAAATACTGACAGATGGCACCTGAGGTCTTCCTCCTCAAGTAAAGCTGGAACTTCGCCATATGACCTAAACTGTACCAGTGTGACGTAAAACTCGAACAAACAAGTTGAGGTTGCCCTGATAATTATGCTGTATGTATGTGCTGTTGTAATACCAGTAAAGGGCTTAGCCTTTTAAGCTGTCACTTCATACCAAAGGATTCCTTGTAGTCTCTGCCTACTTCAAAAGGCTACTTTCTTCAGCCCCAGTCAGGACATTGGCAGCTTGGCCACATACAAGTTCATGTTTTCTTTTTTACGCTGTCGCAATTTCTTTTAATCTTCTGCAAATGCACTGTACTTCTGCGCAACATACACTTACAGGTTAAGGGGAAGGAGGGATAGATATTTGCCATACATACATGTATTACAATAAATTTATACATGTACAAGTATAGTGGTGCAATAAACTTTATTATTTCACACCTTATAAAATATGACCAATGCACTTTCAGCATTTGCACCACACAATAGAAATCATTAATTATTAGACCCAATCTTACAAATTTTGCTTTGTTTCCTTTCTAGAGTCCAAAACATTCATATTAAATCCATATTACACCCCATATAGCCTTGTTTTAATTTCAAGAGTTCAAAAGGTTCCATATCAATATCGCACACTATACAGCCTCGTTTTCATTCAAAATTTTCAATCCAAAATATCTTTATCAAATGCAAATCATATTCCATCTAGTCTCATTTTCATTTTGAGACTCCAAAATTCATACCAATATTTAGGTCTCATGACTACTCTACTGATATTTTAATTTTAGGTGTTGGAAAGACAACTCTTGTTAAGAAGGTTTGTGACAAACTAGAGGATGAGAATTGGCAATGTCAAGGATTCTATACTGAGGAGAAGAGAGAAGATGGACAGAGGGTTGGCTTTGATGTTGTTACATTTGATGATAAGAGAGGCCCACTGGCAAGAATCATAGACAGGTAACAAATATTTAAATGGAGAGGAAGCTATGATGTCAGACACTTAAAATTTCTATCAGCCCTGTTACCTAAAATTTGTCATGGTAATCAAAAGAAGTAACAGAAAAGAAATTGCAAAAATGTAAAAAAAAAAAGCAATAAAGATTAAGAAGATGTTATTTATTCTCAATAATGGAGGAAAATGTAAACACATTTGTTTATGTAAAACAAGATGGCGAAAATTGATCAACTCCAAAGGCCAATGAAGCTCGGACAGTCAGGATGATGAAAATTTATATTTTTAGAGCTTCTTATTCCTGTCTGCAAATTCTCAATTATAGGCCTACTGAAGAATGAATAAGAATGAATAATACAGAAGAAACATTAAATACTAGAATTTAAAGATTTTTTGCATGTGTTTGTTACACTGTAAATCACAGGCACTAGACACAATTAATTTACCTCTATACGCTTATAAAACCATATATAAAGAATATTCTTTATGTATAGTATTACGAGGGGTGATCCAAAAATTCGTGGACAATGTGTGTATCTCCATAACGTGACGTCCTACCGAGGTGAACTCTTTGGATATTATTAATCAATGCTTTTTAGCTCACCTGTCACAAAGTGACAGGGTGAGCTTTTGTGATCGCTTTTCGTCCGTCCGTCGTCTGTCCGTCCGTCCGTAAACTTTTACTTTAAATGACATCTCCTCATAAACCACTAAGCCAATTTCATCCAAACTTCACAGGAATGTTCCTTTGGTGGTCACCTTTAAAAATTGTTCAAAGAATTTAATTCCATGCAGAACTCTGGTTGCCATGGCAACCGAAAGAAAAAACTTTAAATATCTTCTTTTAAAAAACCGTTAGAGCTAGAGCTTAGATATTTGGCACGAAACATCTTCTAGTGAGTGTCTACCAAGTTTGTTCAAATAAAAGCCCTGGGGTCAAAATTGGCCCCGCCCCGGGGGGTCATTGATTTTCCCTATATACATATTGTAAAAACTTAAAAAATCTTCTTTTAAAGAACCAAAAGAGCTACAGCTAAGATATTTAGCATCAAACATGTTCTAATGGGTGTCTACCAAGTTTGTTCAAATAAAAGCCCTGGGGTCAAAATTGGCCCCGCCCCGGGGGGGTCATTGATTTTCCCTATATGCATTATAGTAAAAACTTAAAAAATCTTCTTTTAAAGAACCCAAAGAGCTATGGCTAAGATATTTAGCATCAAACATGTTCTAATAGGTGTCTACCAAGTTTGTTCAAATAAAAGCCCTGGGGTCTAAATTGGCCCCGCCCGGGGGGGGTCATTGATTTTCCCTATATACATATAGTAAAAACTTAAAAAATCTTCTTTTAAAGAACCAAAAAAGTTAAAGCTAAGATATTTAGCATGAAACATGTTCTAATAAGTGTCTACCAAGTTTGTTCAAATAAAAGCCCTTGGGTCAAAATTGGCCCCGCCCCGGGGGGTCATTGATTTTCCCTATATACATATAGTAAAAACTTAAAAAATCTTCTTTTAAAGAACCAAAAGAGTTAAAGCTAAGATATTTAGCGTGAAACATGTTCTAATAAGTGTCTACCAAGTTTGTTCAAATAAAAGCCCTGGGGTCAAAATTGGGCCCTCCCCGGGGGATCATTGATTTTCCCTATATGCATTATAGTAAAAACTTAAAAAATCTTCTTTTAAAGAACTCAAAGAGCTATGGCTAAGATATTTAGCATCAAACATGTTCTTATAGGTGTCTACCAAGTTTGTTCAAATAAAAGCCCTGGGGTCAAAATTGGCACCGCCCCGGGGGTCATTGATTTTCCTTATATGTGTATAGCAAAAACTTAAAAAATCATCTTTGAAAAAACCCAAATAGCTAGAGTTAAGATATTAAGCATGAAACATCTTTTAGTGAGTGTCTACAAAGTTTGTTCAAATAAAAGACCTGGGTCAAAATTGGCCCTGCCCCGGGGGTCATTGATTTTTTTATATGTGTATAGCAAAAACTTAAAAATCTTCTTTGAAAAAACCCAAATAGCTAGAGTTTAGATATTAAGCATGAAACATCTTCTAGTAAGTGTCTACAAAGTTTGTTCAAATAAAAGCCCTGGGGTCAAAACTGGTCCGGCCCCAGGGGTGTCATTGTTTTTAACTATATGTGTATATAGTAAAAACTTAAAAAAAATCTTCTTTCAAAAAGCCCAATGAGCTAGAGCTTAGATGTTTAGCATGAAACATCTTCTTATGGGTGTCTACCGAGTTTGTGCAAATAAAAGCCCTTGGGTTAAATTGGCCTGCAACGTTGGGGGGTGGGTGGGGGTTGGGGCCTATATACAGGTGAGCGACCTCAGGGCCATCATGGCCCTCTTGTTTAATACATCGACCAAATTTTAAAATACCAATTGCATTTTTTATCTATATATGACAACATCAAAACATTAAGTATCAAAATCGCGGCGCAGCTTACTTTTTCTCTGTAATGTCAACGTTTTTATCTCATTTAAACACATGTAAAAACTGAGTAAACAAAGAAAATTGCGGGAAACATTATAATAACGTTGTTTTGATGTGTATGACGTCATTCTGTGATAAAAGCAGCTTTATCAAAAATAGACGTCACGGATCCAGCAAAACTTCGGACAGTTATACAGTTCTATGTAAATCTTGGAAAGACGCCTGGCGAGACAAAAACAATGATCGAAAGTGTGACAAATAAACCGTCACTGTGTCGTTCTCTAGTTTATAAGTGGCATCGCCGATTTTCGGATGGAAGGAAAAGTGTAGGGGAGGATTCACGGACTGGTCGACCTTGATGGTCGAGATTTTATGCACACATTGAGAAAAAAGCGACCCGAATCTATTGGAAATTTAATTCTTCACCAAGACAATGCACCTGCTCACCGTGCCCGGGACACACTGCTGACCATTCAAATCCAGCTTGGAGCAGAAGTACTCAGTCATCCACCATATTCGTCTGATCTTTCCACGTGTGACTTCCCCTTGTTTCTCAGGTTAAAGAAAGAGTTGAGAGGGAGACGTTTTGACAATCTGGAAGAGTTGAGAGGAGCCACCCAATGCATACTGTCATCATTCAGCCAGGAATGGTATGCGAGTACATTTAGAGACTGCGTCCGCCGCCATGAAAAATGTGTGCGTGTTAAAAGGGAATACTTTGAAAAGTTATAAGGCAAAACGGTAACGTAGATTACTTCCTAGGATAGCATAACGTTGTTTGTGAGTCGTGTGCTGCGCCGCGTTTTGTCATGTCTATGTATATAAACTGGTGCAGAATCGATAATTCCTGTACAATCTTTACAATATTTTGAGAATTTGCCGACATATGCGCACTTAATAAGATACTAGAATTTCATGTGATTTGCTTTATTACTTTTTGTTTTAAGCAGGGTGTCCACGAATTTTTGGATCACCCCTTGTATAAGCATATAAAGGTAAATTAATTGTGTCTAGTGCCTGTGCTGTAAATGATGTAGCTATAAGTACAAATATTTCAGATACTTGTGTAAAACTTATTATAATAATTTGTTTTTAAGGAGTATTTTAGAATAAAATGTTTTGTTAAACAAGACTTATGAAGAAATGGTTCATTACAGTTTTCAGTAGAGATTGAAAGTACATTATACAAAGGTATTTCGGTATTGAAACAAAATGTACTAAAAAGGAATTAAGAATGCTGATAAGTTTTATAGTTGTTTTTTGATACAATATCATAGATAAGACATGTGATGTTTATTTACAGGGATAATCCAGTAGCAGGGAGAAGTTATATGGTGGGCAGATACAATGTTTTACTACAGTCATTTGAACAGCTTGCATTACCATCATTAGCAATAAAGGTAGGTTATAAGATCAACAAGTATAGAGGCCTAAGGCTCCCACGTTTACAATTTTTTGTAAACGTTTACACGATTGTTAAGAACCGAAACGATACCGTTTAAACGGTGGTACTTCTATGTACTATACTACACCATGTATTCGAGTCGCCAAATGATGACTTACTTTCTATTTTTAATACATGTAAAAGTATACAAATAAATTATGTTCAGGGCTCATCACGAATGTGTGCACACATTTTCTGCATGTATCCTCAGTATTCTCTTTTTTCAGATCAAAGGAAAATCAACTTTGAAAAATCAACTTTACAAAAAATGTATTATGTCACGAGTGATAATTGCACAGCAGGACTGTGTGGAAGGTTAAAAACACCCATTTTCCGTTTTTGACTTTGGAATAAATCAATTAGAATTGATAAAATCCATGAATACAGGCAATGATCCAGATATTTTGTAAGACAATATGGTCATTTTGCTTAAATGGTAAAAAATATTGTAAACATTTACCAATGTAAATCAAAACGAATCTGTTTAAACATGTAACCGTGGGGGCCTTGTAGAGGACTTGTGGCCTTCACTTAACTCTTAGCCTGCTGGTGGCAACAAATTTTGCCCATGTAAACAGTGCAAAACAAGACCAGCCGGCAAACCTGTGTCGTCTGATTATAGTCTGCACTGAAGGAGTTTTAAAAAAGTTTTTTAAGATTTTCTGTTCAATCTATAAAATCTATTCTGAAGAAAAATATGGAGATCTAAATACAATGTATATATCAGTGTTAGAGTTTAATCAAGATTTCTAATTCTTGCATAGCAGTCTGGCGTTTCCGTGAGTTTTACCCATGCCGGAAATTTCATCTGGCATGGGGGGTGCCAGATGAGTCGCGTGCCAAACAACAACGTCATTTTAGCGCCATTTATGAATGAACCGCGTTAAAATGACGTCGTTTTAGAAGGGAAATATGTCTTAGGATAACGTCATTTCGCCGTTGTTATTTAAGTTGTAAGTTCATACGCTATTGTAAGAAAATAGTTATGGATGAAATGACTTTAATTTCCATGAACATATATCATATTGAGTTAAACCATTTTAAATATGAAATAATATGGCAGAATATGCAAGAAAAAATATCTTTCATATGTTTGCGGTTCGGATCGGAATATCCGTCCCTCGGGAACCCGCCCATAGGCGGTAACTCGGCAAGCCTCGTTACCGCCCAATGGGCGGGTCCCCTCGGGATGGATATTCCGGTATGAACCGCAACATATGACAGATATTATTATTCACAGTAAATTTTAAAACAAAAGTTTCTGTATGGATCTACAGATCGGAATATGGCCACAGAGAAAGAGGTTTTTGTTTGTCTTTCTAATTCATGATTGGCAATATCTACCTTTAAAATAACTTCATGTGTAAGATTGATACGGGTCACTCCTGTATTTATTAATGCTCAGTCTTAAGCCCTTAAGCCAGGTGAGTGTGTTATTGGGGCAGATGCTTATATTTACATTTAATGGCTAGAAGATGCATGAGTTTCATGTTATTTAGATTACAGTTACAAAAGTTTTATTATGCAATATGAGGTGAGGAGTTTTAGCATATATTTTTAAATCAAGGGAAGTCACCATTAATTTTATGCCAAAAAATTCTGTATTTATTGTCTCCCTTGAACAAGAGAACTTTTAATTCACTAGTACAATCAAGAACATTTTTCAACATCATATTCTTCAGCCATCAGAGTACACAAGAGTGATAGTGATAGATGAGATAGGAAAGATGGAATTGTTCAGCAGAAGTTTTACACAGACTGTAAAAGACATTCTAAAACATCCAAAAACTACAGTGTTTGCAACCGTACCTCTTAAGGCTAATCCATTTGTAGAGGAAATAAAGAACAGAGATGATGTACAACTTTATACAGTAAGTAATAAATAGTGTTTACTGGAATAGTTTAATTGTAAACAGATTGTGTATTAACTTGGCCATCATTTTGTCTGAGATAAAGTGCAAATGGCAGGGTGTCTGAGTTGGTACAGCAGTGTTACAGTTTTCTAAAGGTCATGGGTTTGGGTTAAGACTGCACAATTTTCAAACTCTGTGGCATTTGGTGCCCAGTCGGGGACTGTGATTGCACCATTTAAGCATTATCGATGGCCTTGTTTGGGCCATAAACCTTGATTTTGTGCATTTGGACAAATTTCTTCCATACGGGCATTTTGGATTTAATCTTTTTCAAAATTCAAACAAAATGTATAATCTTATATAGATTCTACAAGCCTGCTGTCACTTTGTCAATTTGTCAAGAAATTTTCATTTTGCTCTAAACAATGGACGTTTGCAGTATTATAAATCCATTATAAGAACAAATTTAAGAATATCACAATTTATTGTGTTGTATGTGAGTATCATATAGTAAGTAAACATAAATGTTCTCTCCAGAAAGGAATAAAAACTGTATCATTTCTACTGTGTTCTATTTTTCTTTTATAATCAATATTTAAGCAGTTTTGTTTTAGCATTAGTTTGAGGTTCATGTTTTTTTCAACATGATTGCTGAACAATAACTTATATGTACCAAAGGAAAGATTATTGAAGTACATGGTAGTTATATGAAGTAATTAACAGCTTATAATTATTTAATGATGGCTTATCGTGTACAGTTTATTAACTCCCTGTTATACAAGCCATTAATAGTACATTATTTAATCTTTAGATTAAGCTACTATATTATGAAAAAGCTAGATATAAATAAGTCAGTTATTTTTTTAAAATCTTTCAAAACAGAATGATTAACTTGTAGACT